ATGTAACTCTGTTGTTTTTATTGCACTACTTTGCTTTATCTTGGCCAGGTCGCAGTTGTAAATGAGAACCTGTTCTCAACTGGCTTACCTGGTTAAATAAAGGTGAAATAAATAAATAAAAAATATATTTATATATTTGCATTTACCACAGTTATGGTATACTGATACTTAACCATAGTTATGGTACACTGATACTTAACCATAGCTATGGTATACTGATGCTTAACCATAGTTATGGTATACTGATACTTAACCATAGTTATGGTATACTGATACTTAACCATAGCTATGGTATACTGATACTTAACCATAGTTATGGTATACTGATACTTAACCACAGCTATGGTATACTGATACTTAACCATAGTTATGGTATACTGATACTTAACCACAGCTATGGTATACTGATACTTAACCATAGTTATGGTATACTGATACTTAACCACAGCTATGGTATACTGATACTTAACCATAGTTATGGTATACTGATACTTAACCACAGCTATGGTATACTGATCCTTTGGTGACAACTAGAGTTGTTATTGAATTTCCATTTCAAATCTTGTCTGTCAAAAACAGACAAACTGTTCCCAGATCTGTTTTTGCTGTCTTGCCCAGACCTATGGTCATTGTCATGCGAAACTCTCAAGACGGCACAAATAGATCTGGGACAAGGCTACAAAAACCCCACCCCAACACAGGATGAACAGGATAATTTTAGTCCCACAGCGAACTCTACTGGTCAGCAGATGTATAACAGCTGCTAGCAACACCAGAGGTTGTGATTGGTTGCGTCCCGATTCTCTACTCTTTTTCCGATGGATTTATCATTAGTGGAAACTCACTTTAGAAAATGACTACACCAATCCAATGCTTCTAAATCTATGACAGGTAAATAGATGTGGTTGTGTTGTCTGTTGATGTCTGTAATTGGGGAGACAGTAGAGGTCTGTTTTAACAGTCAGTTAGCCAGGGGAGACAGATTTCTGTTGTAACAGTCAGTTAGCCAGAGGAGACAGTAGATTTCTGTTGTCTTTTGAAACGGTCTGTAAGCCTGGGGAGACACTATATGACTGTTGTAACGGTCAGTAAGACAAAGGAGACAGTAGATGTCTGTTTTAACAGTCAGTAAGCCTGGGGAGACAGTATATGTCTGTTTTAACAGTCAGTAAGCCTGGGGAGACAGTATATGTCTGTTTTAACAGTCAGTAAGCCTGGGGAGACAGTAGATACACCTGTAGGAGTGATCGTGGACAGTGAGATCGGCGGTCTGCTCCTACTGTCTCAGAGTAGGAGCGCTGACCAAGGATCGGGTTTATGTTTTAGATCATATTGAATTAGATGATATGGACAGGTGGGACCTGATCCTAGATCAGCACTTCTAATCTGAATTTGAAATAAAGTATTTGATTTCCTTTTTAGTTTATACGTTTTTTGTTTATTGAGGTTGCAAGGCCCCTCAGGAGAACAGGCCATGAGACGAACCAGCAAGGCCCCTCAGGAGAACAGGCCATGATACGAACCAGCCAGGCCCCTCAGGAGAACAGGCCATGAGACGAACCAGCCAGGCCCCTCAGGAGAACAGGCCATGAGACGGACCAGCCAGGCACCAAAGGAGAACAGGCCATGAGACGAACCAGCCAGGCCCCTCAGGAGAACAGGCCATGAGACGAACCAGCCAGGCACCAAAGGAGAACAGGCCATGAGACGAACCAGCCAGGCCCCTCAGGAGAACAGGCCATGAGACGAACCAGCCAGGCACCTCAGGAGAACAGGCCATGAGACAAACCAGCCAGGCCCCTCAGGAGAACAGGCCATGAGACGGACCAGCAAGGCCCCTCAGGAGAACAGGCCATGATACGAACCAGCCAGGCCCCTCAGGAGAACAGGCCATGAGACGAACCAGCCAGGCACCAAAGGAGAACAGGCCATGAGACGAACCAGCCAGGCCCCTCAGGAGAACAGGCCATGAGACGAACCAGCCAGGCACCTCAGGAGAACAGGCCATGAGACGAACCAGCCAGGCCCCTCAGGAGAACAGACCATGAGACGAACCAGCCAGGCACCAAAGGAGAACAGGCCATGAGACGAACCAGCCAGGCCCCTCAGGAGAACAGGCCATGAGACGAACCAGCCAGGCACCAAAGGAGAACAGACCATGAGACGGACCAGCCAGTTATCTCAGGAGAAAAGGCCATGAGATGGACAGACAGACGAACAGAGAGGACAGAGGACACAGGGGACAGCTTGTCCTTGTCCATATCACACAAAAGGAAATGACATTCATCATATTGTTTATCACAATGAGACACTAGAGATGTGGATTAAGCCTATAGTCCTGGACTAAACTGCTGACAGCCAGTTGAGAGAATGTTTTGATTAGTTTTGTCTGATATGTGCTCTCTGGGATCCTACAGCAGCAGTTTAGCTGTCATGTACTGAATTGGAGTAAATGCAATGGGGGGTTATTTTATTAACCCATGGGGACAATGAACCATTTCCGAACAGAATAAGTCATCATTTATTCCACAGGGGAAATGTTTGTAACATTTCTTCAAATATGTTTCATTTTTTTTTCATGTGTTGTCTTCAAATTAGACATGAAAGAGATCTCATTTTGAGGCTTCTGTACAATCATATCCTGCTGGCTATTTGGGTCAGTTTGTGTGGCTGCTCAAATTATAACCCAAATCAGCTCAAAGCTAAGAATGCACCTTTAGTATAATTACAACAACAACAAAAATGCTCAAAAAATATAATCAGAAATTCATGCAATGCGAGCACAGTTTCGAGATGACTCGTCTGTAGGATTGGCTAAAACGGACTTCAGTGCTCGAGGTGTGGGACGCCGTTTGAACACCAGATGGCAGCATCGTATTGGGAACGTCATAGTTATAGGCAACGTCTAACGAAACGACACCACACCATACCTTGCTGCTGGATAGTCGCGAACCCATCCCCATTACGCAAAACTCACTGTGTGCAACATTTGAGGAAAGATGCTTCCTCTTTTTATGCTTCCCCAAAGTGTGTCTGAAATAGTTTAGTGAACCCGGAATAAATATATTAAAAAGATTTATTGTGAAAATTAGTTTGTGTTGTCAAAAGCACATCAGCCAAAAGTAGCTGATTTGTATTGCGAAAAGGATATCTGGATGTAGTTTAACTCCAACCCTTGTCTTGTAGCCTACCTTATCTCAACAGTTGATTCTGTTGTTTTGGTAAATCAATGCAATTCTGACTTCTTCACCAGCTTGATTTAGGTTAAAAGTTGGGTGAAAAAAAGACAATGGCCCTACATTGATTACTTTTTCCAAATCCAATCAGGTTTCGACGTTGATTTCACGTCATCACACTAACTTTTTTGGTTGAAATGACATGGAAACAACGGTGATTTGCCCAATTTTTCCCCAGTGGGATATGTTATTGGATACCTTAAATGTAGGCCTACATGAATCCAAATATTTACGCTTACTGTATAGGCACAGTAAATATGATTGCTGAAAAATGCATTTCGATGAGTCAATGTCAAGTATTCCAATAATGTAAATACCACAGATGTAATCAAATGACGGAATGAATACATTTTAAACCGTGTGTGTAATGATGCATACTGATGAAACATATTATTGTCCCTGAGTGAACTAGTCACGTTTTTCTAATTATTTATTTGACATTTTTATTAGTTTAAATGTGTTTAATTTCATCTGTAGATTAGTGTTTTGCCTCACAGTCCTAATAGTCGGCATCCCATGTGAAGGTTTGGCGTGTGTTTGGAGACGAGGGAGAATAGGCTATATTTCAACAGGGGTTGGGGTACATTATTGCGTTGTTTGTCGGTGGTTTTCGGGAAGAAAAAAAAAGACTTAAGCCTACAACATAGAGTAGTTACATAATACATCGTTAGTGTCACCACAAACATCCCCTCGTTGCACTTGTCTTGCCAAGCCAGTTGTATAACCGACAGTCTGCAGAAGAGGTCGCCCGCGGACCTCAGTACAGCACTTTCCGTGTTCCATGGGGGGATGGCTGATGGTCCAGCCTTCGTCTAAGCCTACATAGATAGTATTTAATGTAATACTCTTCCTTCACACTTAAGACTATTCGGAAACGGGGTTAGTTATATTTATCAGCTTGACCTGACAGAGAAACCCAAACAACTGTCTCTTCTAATATTAGCATCCCTCCATGCATGTACTCCAAAGTCTATTATGACTGGTCATTCCAATAGACCAGTCTTATTAAAAGATTTAACGCCTTCATCTGCAGTTATCGGAAGAAAAAAAATTATAATCCTTTATAACCAAGTCATTTGAAGTCGGGTAATTAGCGGCTTGTTGATAGGCTACACTTATGGCTTGTTTAACATTATAATTACTGTAGGTGTTATTGCTATTGTAATGATACCTATTGGTGTTAGTCGTGATAGTTTTAGTAGGCTATTAGATAATAGTTTATGCTTGCCTATAGTAGTAGCCTATACGTTTATTTTGTCATCAAAGCAGCAATGAATTGAATGTATTTAATTGATTGAGGTCACACTGAAATAAACCAGGTCATGGACATTAACAGCTGGTAGATGCTGGTACTGGTAGTCCCCTTATTGTTGCTCTGTCTTGTTACTCTATTATTTTAGTTTGTTTTTTTTCAAACTTAGGACACAGCAATAAGCAAGTCATCTGCCATCAAGTGTACTTTTACCAAACTATTGTGGTCAGACAGAGAAAATTGTTACTAAAGATGTCACCTGATTAGGATTGAAATAAGTTTTGGTGGGGGGGGGGAATCCCTCTCCCCACCCCCACGGACCAGAAGACCGCCCACCACAGATAGACGACCCGAGACCCCTTATAGATTTAAAAAGAGAGGCTGCATTCTCAGACTGACATTCATTCAACACTCACTGCCACCTTAAACAGATTACTCTGTCCGCTAGCTGCTAGTGTCAATTCCAAATACCTTGCTCACTTCTTCACTTTGTCTCCAGCAACGTGCTCAGGATGCTACCGAAACTCCAGCTCCACCCGGGGATGGTTCTATTATTGATATGGCTCTGTCATTTCATGGAAGATCAAAAAGTACAAGGTATATTATTATTATATTTTATATCTTTTAAATCCCCCCCCCAAAAAAAAAAAAAAACTTTGACTGCAAGTGTAGCCTATTCTGTCTGCTTATTGATGTGAATTGTAACGGTGTTCCAGTGTTGCAAACGTTTCAAAGAGAGTTCTACATTCTTTCCCTTCGGTTTGAAGTTGCTCACTATCAGAGAGAGCGTGTGGAATTAACTGTCTACAAAACAGGTGCCAATTAGGGTCGTTTCAAAGAGATGTTATTGCAAGTTTTCTAGCCCACACGATCGAGGCACATGGAATGATTTATTTTTTTTTGATGGATTTTATCCCACTTGCTCACCAAGTCTGTAATACTTGGAATATTTGTTAGTTTTACGGATTGCCATACCATATCACTAGTCCCATACGGTCACTATGATGGGACGCAGCAGTGTGGTGTGGCTGTATATACTCAAACTCAAACTGAGATAGTTGGAGACGGCGCATGGCAGAGAAAAGTGCTTGAAATTTGTGAGCGCATTTTATTTGACCCATAGAATGTGTAATTTCTGTGCTTTGAAACCAACCCATTTCCAATCTATTTGCCATATGGAGATCGGAATTATCTTTATCATTGTTTCATTGATAACGATTGAATACAGTTGCCGATAATATGATGCTCATAAGTTACTTAATATGACAGAAAATGTCCCTTCATTTTCTGCCGCTGAAATTAACGTAAACAATGTAAACCTTTTAAGTGCACCCTAAAAAAAAGTTCAAAAGTACTCGTATTAGTTAGTGTCCATATGTGTCTGGGCAAAGTCTTGTTTTGGTTGCTATTCGTAAAATGACGCTATGACAGGTCTCGGTGTGATCTGCGTCCACGGATGCGCTCGCTCAAATATATTTCGAACAAAGTTTACACAACCATGCTTAAAAAGTTCACACAACCATGCTTAAAAAGTTCACACAACCATGCTTAAAAAGTTCATGCGTATAGTTCGAGCGGCGATATGTCAAGAATAGGCTACAGTTGTTCTGGACTGTTATAACCCGACACCGAATGGATAGGCAATATAACTAGATTTGCTCCACTGTCTGCGCTTTGAACATGGAGAACTCAGTATTTTGTTTACGATTCTATCATACCGGCTGTCAGTATTGAACATTTGTTACGGGATAACCAAGTGTTAAAAGATTGTCATTACGATGGAAAAACCTGACCAAATAACGCGGGGAAGGGAGGGAGGGAGGAAGGGAGGGAGGGGGAGAGAGAAGGGGGAGAGAGAGGGGGGGAAGGGGGGGGGGGGGTGAACGTGTTGTGTCTGGGTCAGGTCACTCAGCGCCTTGGCTTCAGACTTTAATACGACTGGGCCGTTTTATGTTTGTTTCCAGCTGGTAACTGCTGGTTACAGCAGGGGAAGAACGGGAGGTGTCAGGTGCTCTACATGCCGGGGATGAGCCGGGAGGAGTGCTGCAGAAGCGGGAGGCTGGGGACGTCTTGGACCGAGGAGGACGTACCCAACAGCACCTTGTTCCGGTGGATGATCTTCAACGGCGGAGCCCCCAACTGCATACCCTGCAAAGGTTCAACTTTTATTAGTCGTATGAATGAGATACACATGGTATACAGTATACACCGTCCAACCAAATGCTTTCTTGCAGGTTCCTTCTCGATATTTGCAACAACAATAAGAAATAATAAAAGATAAGAATACGAAAATAAAGTAAATGGCTCAGTAGAATAGAATAGACATTTTAACATCAGTGTAATACAGGAAGGCACAATCTATAGTCCAATGTTTACACGGTTGGGGGGCAATTGTTTAAATGTTGGTGTATTTAGCAATCATAATAGGAGTCTGGTAGCAGCAGTTGTGACTATAAGACTATGTGCAACTTTGTTTATATTTAAGTGGGAACTCAATTAGACTAATTTGACGACACATTAAGTCATTGACCTCGTTGCGTCTAAACATTGTCTGCTCTCCATAATTGTATTTCACATCATTTAATAAACTCGACATCTCTTCCACTCCAGAAACGTGCGACAACGTGGACTGTGGACACGGAAAGAGGTGCAAGATGAACAGGAGAAGCAAGCCGCGCTGCGTCTGCGCGCCAGACTGCTCCAACGTGACTTGGAAAGGACCTGTCTGCGGGTCGGATGGAAAGACATACAAAGACGAGTGCGCGTTGCTCAAGTCCAAATGTAAAGTCCATCTGGACCTGGAAGTGCAGTACCAGGGCAAATGCAAGAGTAAGTAAACCGGCAGGCCGATGCATAAAAAAGAACATAAGCTCCTTATTCATATCCAATCATCAATGGCAGACCAATTCTTTTTATATATTTTTCCAATATAATTGGTCTTTTGACCAATCACATCAGATCTTTTAGTTATTTAGCAGACCCTCTTATGCAGAGGGACTTACAGGCGCAATTAGGGTTAAGTGCTTTGCTCAAGGGCACATCGACAGATTTTTCACCAAGTCGGCTCGGGGATTAGAACCAGCGACCTTTCGGTTACTGGCACAACGCTCTTAACCACTAAGCTATCTGCCGCCCTGTCTTCAGATCTGATTGGTCAAAAGACCAATTAGTGAAACTAAGATCAGAATTGGGCTGCCTGTCTAAAGGCAGCCAATGGGTTTCAGTCTGATTGCATTTTAATTGATCACAGTGAGTATTGGTCGATTCACAGGCGTTTAATGAACGGCCATCTGAGTATACATGTGATTGGCTTCTTCCTCTACAGATATTAACCACTCCCTTTCGTTTTGACAGAGACCTGCCGTGACGTCTTGTGCCCGGGAAGCTCCACGTGCGTTGTGGACCAGACGAATAATGCCTACTGTGTGACCTGTAATCGGATCTGCCCTGAACAGACGTCAGCGGAGCAGTTCCTGTGTGGCAACGACGGGATTATCTACGCCAGCGCGTGCCATCTGAGGAGGGCGACATGTCTCCTGGGAACATCCATAGGAGTAGCATACCAGGGGAAATGCATCAGTAAGTAATATCTCCTGGAAACATCCATAGGAGTAGTATACTAGGGGAAATGCATCAGTCAGTAATGTATCCTGGGAACATCCATAGGAGTAGTATACTAGGGGAAATGTATCAGTCACTAATGTATCCTGGGAACATCCATAGGAGTAGTATACTAGGGGAAATGCATCAGTCAGTAATGTATCCTGGGAACATCCATAGGAGTAGTATACTAGGGGAAATGCATCAGTCAGTAATGTATCCTGGGAGCATCCATAGGAGTAGTATACAGGGGAAATGTATCAGTCATTAATGTATCCTGGGAACATCCATAGGAGTAGTATACTAGGGGAAATGCATCAGTAAGTAATGTATCCTGGGAACATCCATAGGAGTAGTATACAGGGGAAATGCATCAGTCAGTAATGTATCCTGGGAGCATCCATAGGAGTAGTATACAGGGGAAATGTATCAGTCACTAATGTATCCTGGGAGCATCCATAGGAGTAGTATACTAGGGGAAATGCATCAGTAAGTAATATCTCCTGGAAACATCCATAGGAGTAGTATACTAGGGGAAATGCATCAGTAAGTAATGTATCCTGGGAGCATCCATAGGAGTAGTATACAGGGGAAATGCATCAGTCAGTAGGCCTAAGCTTTTGAAGCAACAGTATAGAAGACAGCATAGTGGGCCTGTCCAAAAACAGATCAGATCTCTTGCCAATAAATTGGGCTAAATATCAGAATTGGTCTGCCTGTGTAAATGCAGCCTAAGAGATCCACAAGTGTCTGGAGGTTGGGGCTAGGGCCTACGTACTGGAGTCCCTCTTAGACACTCAATGCCTCCCTAATCCACACTGTACACCAGGGGTTGGAACCGGTTCAGGGAACAGAACGCCATTTTATTTTACCCCTTTTTCTCCCCAATTTCGTGATATCCAACTGGTAGTTACAGTCTTGTCCCATCGCTGCAATTCCCCTACGGACTCGGGAGAGGCGAAGGTCGAGAGCCAATGCGTCCTCCGAAACACGACCCTGCCTAGCCACACTGCTTCTTGACACACTGCTTGCTTAACCCGGAAGCCAGCCGCACCAAAGTGTCAGAGTAAACACCGTCCAGCTGGCAACCAAAGTCAGCTTGCAGGCTCCCGGCCCGCCACAAGGAGTCGCTAGAGCGCGATGGGACAAGGAAATCCCGGCAGGCCAAACTGTCCCGTAACCCGGACGACGCTGGGCCAATTGTGCGGCGCCTCAAAAAAAATTTTTTTTGTTGAGGAACAGAAATAGAACCGGGTACGAAAGTTACCTATACTGTTCCAGAACAGAACCGTTATTTTAAAAGCATGGGAACCGGTTAACAACGTATTCTACGTTCCATTTTTTCCCAGTCCACCCCCCCCCCCCCCCCAAAAAAAAAGCGCCTGCAAAGCCCTCACTCTGTCACTCAGAAACTTCTTCCAGTGTCAGTCTGCTAGATGAACATCTTTACCAGTGTGTGTGTAGGCTACCTGCCCCTCCCCCTCCGAGGTATGGGCTACCTGCCCCTCCCCCTCCGAGGTATAGGCTACCTGCCCCTCCCCCTCCGAGGTATAGGCTACCTGCCCCTCCCCCTCCAAAGCGTAGGCTACCTGCCCCTCCCCCTCCGAGGTATAGGCTACCTGCCCCTCCCCCTCCCCCTCCGAGGTATAGGCTACCTGCTCCTCCCCCTCCAAAGCGTAGGCTACCTGCCCCTCCCCCTCCGAGGTATAGGCTTCCTGCCCCTCCCCCTCCGAGGTATAGGCTCCCTGCCCCTCCCCCTCCGAGGTATAGGCTCCCTGCCCCTCCCCCTCCGAGGTATAGGCTACCTGCCCCTCCCCCTCCGAGGTATAGGCTTCCTGCCCCTCCCCCTCCGAGGTATAGGCTTCCTGCCCCTCCCCCTCCGAGGTATAGGCTTCCTGCCCCTCCCCCTCCGAGGTATAGGCTCCCTGCCCCTCCCCCTCCTATACTCTCCTCTGTAGGTATAATTATGTGGGCCTAATTTAGATAATGCAGGTCATAATAAGATAATCGGAAAAGTCAGCATTTGCCCCAGCGCTGCCACACCACTTTCAAAGCAGCAGCACCCAACAGGCCAGTAACTTCTCAGCACATTTTTGCGTTCCAGTTCCCACATTTACCTGCTCTTTCGCAGTCTATCATTGACAACCATTGATGACTAGACGCAGAAAGTTGTGCTGTTTGTATTTGAGCAATATGATTGGCTGTTCATTCAAGCGCCACTACGCTCCGGCGAATCACAACTTCTCGAGCAGTACAGAAGTTGATAGCTACGTTCACAAAGCGCACTCGAGCTGTCCTGAACAAAACGAAGTGCCCATCAATCTACTCGCTGAGCTTATTTATTTTAGGGAAAGTGATTTACAAAAGTAAACCTTCAATAGTGAACATACTAGCAATATGCTGTCTATTGTTGATAGTCTGCTAAAAGAAAGCTACAAAATACCTTTTTATCATTAGTCTTGGCTAACTCACTGTAGCCAGGTCCATATCTCTTTTGGAACGCAATTGTCTTAAAGGGGCAGGGTCCTATTTTACGACGTTAAAATTATTCACGTAGCTGAATTATATTAAACAGCTATTTAATATAATCATCATAATAACCAAATGTAGCCTATTAATAGCTACACATAGAGAGAAAGCATGCCAACCTATAGGCTCTGCATGACCCCAATGTATTTAAAAACCACACCATGTCCAACACCAAGTTAATATTGGACCCTGTCATAGCCCAGAGTTTTACCTGACCAGGTCGTGAGATCAGGAAAAACTCCAGGCGCCAGAAAAGACACATACAAATTTTGCCAAACCACTATTGAACCTGCCACCTCTGGCCAGCGCTTCAAGCCACGCCTCCTCCTACATCCTCTCTCGCTCTCTCCCCGCCCTTACGATGTCTGTCGCATCTCGCGTCCCATCACGCATGTAAACAACTAGCTTGCCGGCTCCATAGCAAGCTGCTCAATTCGTACTGAATGGTGAACTAATTTAATTAGCTAATGTTTTGTTGTTGTTGTTCGAACCGGAACGGAATGAAAAAAATAGTGGTTCTGTTCCGAAGGACATTATTGGAAAATAGTTCCAAACCTTGCTGTACAGTACTGACAATACAGTCTGAATGTAATCTATAGAAGGGGCTTAGAGTCTCTAACCCTGGCAATCTGACTGGTAAACTCATGGGTATTCATTCTATACATTCTATTTCATTCTATACATTCTATTTCATTCTACACGTTCTATTTCATTCTATACATTCTATTTCATTCTATACATTCTATTTCATTCTATACATTCTATTTCATTCTATACGTTCTATTTCATTCTATACATTCTGTTTCTAAGGGCTAGACCCCGTAGGCTGCTTCTCTTTGCCAACAGTTGTTTTTAGTCGACTCTGCCAACATTCCACATAAATGGAGGTTCTCAGAGCAGAACCATTGAAGCTGTGGAGGTCCAGTTCAGTATGAAAGGCTGGGACTACTTTGTAATTATTACTGTTTAGAACATGACGGACATCTTATTGTTTCCTGAAGTTGGCAACATCACCCACAACACAGCCGGGGTATTTGCCAGGGAAAGTCTTTCCTCCCTTCTACAATGATACTTGGCCACACATGACCTAATATAGGACATGACTCACTACGACCCACTAGGGTTACATGGTTATACGCCAAGCAGCACCAGCGATGCGTCAGTCTGATATGTTCTCTGTTTCTTCTCCTCTCCTCCCTCTGGCTCCAGAGGCCAAGTCGTGCGAGGACATCCAGTGCAGCGCGGGGAAGAAGTGTCTGTGGGACAGTAGGATGAGCCGAGGCCGCTGCTCCCTCTGTGAGGAGGCGTGTCCGGAGAGCCGGACGGACGAGGCGGTGTGTGCCAGTGACAACACCAACTACCCCTCAGAGTGTGCGATGAAGCAGACCGCCTGCTCTCTGGGAACGCTCCTGGAGGTTAAGCATTCAGGATCTTGCAACTGTAAGTAATCACCACAGCAAAAGACAATTCCATGTTCTTTCCCAACAACAATCCCTCCCTCGTCTCATTTTGAGCCCCCCGCCCCTGCAAACTCCCAATCTGCCCCCCCCCCCCCCCCCCGCCCACCCACCCGGCACAGCTCAGCTCAGCTTACGCATCTGAAAGGACTTGAGAATGGGAGAACTTGCATGATTTTGTCTGTGTTGCTGGCTTCTCTAACAAACAAAAAATAATAATAATCTGAAAAAAACAAACGAAAAAGTAAAAAAAAATATATATATATATCAACAGGTAAGGACAGTTCAAAAGAGAACCATTTTTTTGGCAGTCGTCGAGATGCTAACTTCATAAAACTAACAAGAGACTAACTTTTGCAGTTAGAAAAGTCGTGGTGTTTAACATCTAGCTTGTGGTCGTAATCTCATAGTGATCTGTTGTAACCTTGCAGTTTATTTTTTTATTGTCATAGTTTTTTATTTATTTTTTATCTAGACAGACACATAATGGTAATATCTTTACAGCTTCTACATTCCATGGTCACATTGCTAATTTCATGTTAATCATGCATTATGTTTTTGCTTTTTGGCTGTAATCAATCAAATAATAATGCGCTATGTCTGTAACGGTATACACCGCTCTGCTAACATGTAATATGAATCAGAATGAAAACCGTTGCATACATTCATATAAGTGCATAAGGTGATTGCGGCTCAGTTGGTAGAGCACGGCGCTTGCAACGCCAGGGTTGTGGGTTAGTTTCCCACGGGGGGGGGGGGGCAGTATGAAATTGTATGCACTCACTAACTGTAAGTCGCTCTCTGGATAAGAGCTTCTGCTAAATGACTAAAATTTAAAAATGGTAAATTGATGCCAATTTAGCTAAGAAGATTTAAGGTACACCGTAACACATAGACTACCTGTTTCTACCAGTATTTTGAGCCATTCCTCCTTAAGTAAAGTGCTCACTAAACTGGGGCTTCCTGCCTTCAAACTGTCACAAAAAATAGCCTCAAGGAGATGATAGAAGTTACATTCCAAGTCGCCATATGTCAAAGAATGTCTGATGAAATCATTTCATTTTCATCCTGATGAATAAATCTGGATATCTTCCACCTACACTACATGATTATATTATTGTTCGACTGACTACATTTAACGTCAATGTGCCTTATTGAGGTGGATCACAACTCCTCTGAAGGGACCGTTAGCCACGATCACCTCACGAGAGAAGCGTTTACACTAGAAGCAGAAGTAGCAGAACAGCGCTCCCTTATCTCTCCTCCGTCTCTTTCTGCTTTTTTGTAGAAAATGTACGTGTTCTATCCGTCTATCTGTACTGACTGCTGTGTGTGCTGATTGTAGCAAATGTTGTCTATCAGAATATATATATATATATATATATAAAAACAAACGAATCCCTTTTGGATTTGATGAGGGACTGTCTGTTTGTTGTTGCCTGTGTGCTTTTATTTTATTTTTTTACATTTACAAAATCAAAGCTGTGCGGTTGGCCTGGCTCGTGTTCCCGCTTGATAGGGGTCACATGTCAAACTGCTGTGACCCAGAGAAACACTCCACCCAATGGCAGCAACTGTACCGTGTCTGAGACAAAAGGAGACTTAAAAAAAAAAAAAAACGAGAAAGCCATTGAACACCTCATATCCCCCCCCCCCCCCCATAAGTATGGCATGGATAACTCAGTGCATCGTAGACTGCCAAGTCCCCTCTCTCCCCTGAAACATAGCAACACCAGCAGGCTTTTCTGGGGCTTTTGAGAACATTCACTGACTATTGTTCTGCTGCGTTGCTGCTGTGCTCCTTATTCATACAACGGCTATCATATATTCTCCCATCTAGCTATAACAGAAGACCCTGAGGAAGAGGAGGAGGAGCAGGAAGATCAGGACTACATGGTTCACATCCACCTGACCTCCTTATTGGATGGATAGGCTGTCTATCATATCCACCTGTCCTCCTTATTGGTTGGATAGGCTGTCTATCATATCCACCTGTCCTCCTTATTGGATGGATAGGCTGTCTATCATATCCACCTGACCTCCTTATTGGATGGATAGGCTGTCTATCATATCCACATGCTCTCCTTATTGGTTGGATAGGCTGTCTATCATATCCACATGCTCTCCTTATTGGTTGGATAGGCTGTCTATCATATCCACATGCTCTCGTTATTGGTTGGATAGGCTGTCTGTCTGTCTAGCTGCCTGCCTGGACCAGTCCTAGGGCCAGGGATCATGTTGTCCATACTGTACAGTACATATGTGTATGCGTATTTATACATATAGTTCAGTTCTGCTAGAAGTTTTATTTATACTGTTTTTATGTGTTTTTATAATTTATACATTTCCAATGTTCAGGATGACTATGTGCCATGTTATTGTGTTACCACTTGTTTCTATTTTGTATTATTATTTTTTATTATGAAGAAATATATTTCTCCAAAGAGAAGCAGTGTTATTTATTGAGTAAAGTATCCGTCTCCTTTCTGCAAGCTGTAATTGGTTTCATGCTTCCCCTGAGCTGTACTAACCTGCTTATGTTCTCACTGTCAGATATCTTTTTATTAACACAGATGTTTATCGTTCACACATTAATGCATGTTTAGCCTACAGTGTGTTTATTTATTGGGGGGATCTATCTTATCTGTCAATCATTTATGTACAGAAATGTTTCTGCTTTTTGTTAACACGTCATTATAACTCGCCAAAGGGACAGGGGTTTGGGGTCAATTCCAAATTGACTTCCAGTCAATTCAGAAAGTAAACCAAATTCCAATTCCAAATGTTCCTAATTGAAAATCATTTTTTAGAGAATTGGAATTTCAGTGTAATTTCCTGAATTGACTGGAATTTAAAATGGAATTGACCACAACCACCCTGCAAAGGGATTCTCTCAAGGGTTCTGTAAAGGTAAAGGTGCTTTATACGGTGCAGCATGCTGATAGCAGCCAGGTCAAAAGATCTGTATGCGCTTTTGCCTACTCCGTTATTAGTTGTCATGACAATTCCATTAGGAGTTGGCAAGAGAGCAGAAACAGCCTGGCAACCAAGCTACAGTAACAGTCTGAATAGGTGCCAACTAACTCCTCTAACGCTGTGTTCATAACCAAGTGGGAAGGTGGTATCTACCACATACGACTGGGGGAAAAAAATCCACTTGAACGCCCCTCCAACTGATAATTACTAGTGAGGAAACTCGTCTATCATCCTGAGCTCCTACTTCTGCCACATTCTGACCTCTGACGTCACCTACTAAGGAAATGACTTCAGTAACAGCATTTTTTCATCCGTTAAATACAACAACAAAACATATAAATAGCAATCTATTCATGTATCATCATCTATTCATCTATTCAGCAATCTATTCATGTTTTTTGAACACTTTAATTTTGTTTAGATGCATGATAGCTGTACTTTTAGTTTACGGTTGACGCAGCTTGTTGGTCATTAGCCAATCGTTTTTTTCTCGACGAGTCAAAGCATGTAAATGCATCCAGCTGGTATTTAAGACTTCACAACTGGTAATTTCCACCTTCCCACTTGGTTATGAACGCAGCATTAGTTTACTCCTCTACAATGTGTTTCCCCCAATGGAGAGGTCTGTCTAACCCAGACAAACGTAAACTCAGCAGCAGTGTTTTATTTTGTACACGTTCGAACAGAGATGGGTTTTTTTTGGGACAACACTTGATTTTGTCAAAATGTGGCATGAAAATGTGTGTGTTTGTGTGCTGCCAGTGTTTTGCTCCATATTGCTCTTGCAGAGCTCACCTGACTAGGGGGCTAGACAGCAGCACATGGACACTGTATCAAAACCCTCATCACACTTTGCTTTTCTCGCCACGCTGTTGTTCTTTTCAGAATGCATTTTCATTTTCAAAAATCGCAAGAGAAATACAAAATTCTGTTATAAGTATATAGTTCAGTATTTCTGTTATGTAAATGTCATATGTACATACAAAGTCGGATATTTGTACAGATATGAAGAGTAAAACAATAAACGTTTTGTTTTTTTTTCCTTACATGTTTGTCGTTTTCTGACCCCCTGAGGAGACTCAAATCAACACTGTCTTTGATATACAACGTATTAGATATTTTTCAATCACTGACACCAAAACACCCAAAAGTATTTCACCAAAGAATTCAACACCATGTCATGCAGTATACACTGATCCATAACTTGGACCATTTATGAAATTACATGAACTACAAGCCCTATGAAATGTGTCCCATAGAAGTATTGATTAACAGCAGATGGATTACAGAGTATTGTCCGTTGTTTCATTGGTAATGCTATTGAAAGGCAGTAGCTAGTATGGATCTGTATTTTGAAAGTGTCTTGAGGGCTGATCTAGGATCGATGTATCATTTTAGATCATAATTCCATACGATTGTATGGATGGATCCTAGATAAGCACTCCTACCTACTCTGATACATGGGGCCCAGATCACACTTACTTTGTGGTGTGCTTTTTTGTTTATATTATATTAGGAGGTGTGTCTGTAAGAGGTTGGTCCTAGCCAGCAGAACCATGGGGTGGGTCCTAGCCAGCAGAACCATGGGGTGGGTCCTAGCCAGCAGAACCATGGGGTTGGTCCTAGCCAGCAGAACCATGGGGTGGGTCCTAGCCAGCAGAACCATGGGGTTGGTCCGGTTGGTCCTAGCCAGCAGAACCATGGGGTTGGTCCGGTTGGTCCTAGCCAGCAGAACCATGGGGTTGGTCCTAAACAGCAGAATCATGGGGTTGGTCCTGGCCAGCAGAACCATGGGGTGTGTCCTAGCCAGCAGAACCATGGGGTGGGGCCTAGCCAGCAGAACCATGGGGTTGGTCCTAGCCAGCAGAACCATGGGGTTGGTCCGGTTGGTCCTAAACAGCAGAACCATGGGGTTGGTCCTAGCCAGCAGAACCATGGGGTTGGTCCTAGCCAGCAGAACCATGGGGTTGGTCCGGTTGGTCCTAAACAGCAGAACCATGGGGTTGGTCCTAAAC